GTCAGATGCAGTGTTAATTCCACCCACAGTTGCCTCATATTCCACAGCATATTAGCAAGGGTCCATACCGTTGATTTGGGTGCCCTGACCCACACGGGTGTTTTCTGAAACCAACTGACATTAAGCGCTGGAGAGTGTTCCATGAGCTCATCAGTTTGTCTCTCTGAAGGTGTGTGTTGGCATGTGAATTGCCCAGCCTTCAGGGCAAATTAGGCACCCACTTATCCTGCAAAGCTCTTGCAAGTTCCTGCACCGAAGCATTTTAGACCTTTGGATCATCACTTTTAATCTTAATGCAGGTTGGGATGTTCAGCATGAGCAAACCAGTCCTGTAACAGCATAAAAGCATGTTTGGGGAGTGTTCTGAAAATGACGGAAAGCCACAGTGCCAGGGAGAGCCAGTGTGGTACAGTGGTAAAGAGTGCTGAAGTGGGACTCAGAAGGTCCAGGTTTTGGTCCCCACCTTGCCATGAGACTCACTGGGTGATGTTGGAGCAGTCATGTACACTTTAGCCTAACCTACCTCACTGGGTTGTTGTTGGGAGGACTAGAATCCTATAAGCTGCCTTGGCCGCCTTGCAAGAGGAAAAAGGCAGGATATACATGTAATATTAAACTAATAATAATAAATAAACAGAGCACATCACAAATACAGACACAAAATCCATAGCAGTGTGAGAATGAATTCTGTACTTCAAAAACTCCTTTTGCAGATGTTGTTAGTGTGACCCTCGTGCTGAAGATAAGCAGATAGATCATCTCCATATAGAACTGGTTGAGATTCTATTATGTTTGCCAAATGGCAACGAACAAAGCACAGCAGGAACTAGCAACTCCCTAACTGGTTCTTAGGGAGTTCAGGATGGAGATGAGCTTTACAGAGATTCTTTGCTTAGGGCTGGTGGCCTGCAGACCAGCCAGGGAGCTTACAGACATGTGGCCAAGCACTGTGCATGCACAGGTGTTGTGGTTATTCCAACCCACTGATTATGCAGAAGCCTTCACTTAGCAGACTGATTGAAAACAATCCTTCTTGGTGCAATTCCTTGTCTGCCAGCAGACAAAAAGCAATAGCAAAACCCTGGAAAGGTGGGGAGAGACTGAAGGAGATACAGTCCAGTGGAGGGTCTTCCACTCTTGGTAACTTCTTTCCCATAATGTATGGGAGATGGATGGAGGCACCAGATGAGAGCGCATCAAGGTTTTCTTGGGTACAGAAGGGGAATTGTGGGTTTCCAAAAAAGGGGGTGTATGTGGCAGGGGTGGGGGCTAACACAGCCACCCTGGAAATTGTGGGTCTCCAAACAATCAGGTAGGCAGTCTGTGCAGGGCTAAACTAGCTGGACTAGCTGGACTGTATTTCCTATTCTATTCTATTTGTCATTTGCCACTGAATTTCCACTTTGAACTGCTGGTTCCTTTGTGCTCAGAATCTGACCACCCTGTTTCCAGGCTGCACTGCACTTTCCTTTCACCATAAGGCAGGCTGCTTGCTTTGGCTGTGGCAGGGAGACTCCCAAGGAGGCATGCCACAATATTGATCATACACACACAGATATGGCAAGCAAGCTGCAAACATGCCGAGCCATATCTAAGGTAGCTATGTTCTCCTAAGGACACAAGGAGGCTGCAGAGAAGACTCACACAAGAGACCATAGTGGGAGCCTTGGCCAGTTGTTCCCAAGGGACCAGGAGACTGAGGTTACTGTCCTGTCACTGGTGCCAGTTTTGCCTCTGCTGCACCACCAGACCCCCATGGCAATTACTGCCAGGCTGCAAATACCTGCAGTAGCAGATCTAGCAGCTAGCCTCAAGTGCAATATTAATATTTCAATTGAAATGCTTCCCTAAATTGAATTGAAACTCAACTGAAATAACTTTGGATGGACTAGCAGCCCACATTCTATCATTTGGAATATTCTGATGGATACTTTCTTCCAAAAGGAGCAATTTGAGGCAAATTTCACCATATATATATATATATATATATCTTATCTTAATAAAACTCCAGCAGCATTATAACACCCATTTTTCCCTTCTTTTGAAATCTACTGTCCTCTAAAGTCCCTGGATTAAAGTACTGTAGAGCGACACTCTTATTTGTTAAAAAATTCTTACAGAGATTGATGGCATATAGGCAATTGGGTCTAATTCCACATAAGTATTTTGCCTCAAAGCACTCAGTACAATTCTCACTGAAATGAGTAGAGCTAGAACTGATGGATAAATGCAAAGATCACGATCTGGATGCTGTAAATTACCCCATGAGTGATAACCAAAGTGGCATCATCCTAAACATTTTAACAAAATAACATGGCTGATTTCTTACTGCAGCCATGCATTCAGCTCCTTCCTTTACCTTGGCTGAATATAAATGGGATTTTTCTCCCTGCCCCAACCCCCACTGTAGTTTTAACGATGCAAGAGAGGTAAGCAGTCAATATTACTGGGTAACTGTTCTATTAAACTAAAATTCTCCCTTAAGAATTACTGGAATGTACCACCAATATTCAACTTGAAAAACAAGTATGTAAGGAACAGCTGCATATTCTCCCCACCCCAAATGGCCACTTCTTCTGAATAAAAGTGCCACCATTTGGGCTATGACAAAGACTTGCTCAGAAAAACTGAGCTGATATTCACAAGTAGGAACAGCAACACATCTAACTATAGCTCATAAGAATGGCTAGACATTTACTTATCTATGCACACTTGGCTCCTGGCTCCCTGACAACAGAAGGTTCACCAAACTTCATTTACTTTCCCTTATGCATCTTTTATCCACACATCCTGCTCTGAGAACTCAGCAAACTTGACACCAGCTCCTTCCCTTTTTCATCCCACTGCTGCCTTCACAAATGAGAAAGAAAGAATCACCCCCTTCAACATGTACATAGCACACACTGTGTCCTCCACTATTTTGTGCAGTTTTCAGTGAAACCTCAGATCCATTCCCTGCTTTACTCTACTGAACAAGAGTAGAGTAGAGCAGTCTTCTCATCCTTCTCTTGCTCTCTTTCTCCAGTCATTTTGTATTCTAGAAGCTCATTTTGTGGTACCCGACAGCTATTTAATGTGCCCTTAAACCCTTGTTTTTGCTGCAACAGAACCAACTTAGAAAATGGCAAAGGCAGTCTCTTTACAACTTTAATGTGCATTTTGTTTTTGAGGGGTTTTGGGATTGGCTTGGCTTGGCTTCTGTCCTGTCCCCCTTCCCCTTCCCCTTCCTTCCTTCCTTCCTTCCTTCCTTCCTTCCTTCCTTCCTTCCTTCCTTCCTTCCTTCCTTCTTCTTTTGCAGAAATCATGGAGGAAACCCATGTCATCATTTCAAAATGGATGTATAAAAATAATATACTGCCAGAATATATGTGCTCATATTGCTTCATCACATCCCAAACAAATTCTCTTGAGTCACACAAAAGTGTGGTTTTCATTCTGCATGAAAGTTTTGGAAAGGAATTCACTAACAGAAGGGAATATATGCAGTTTTCTTTACAATAATGAGTGGCAAGAAAGGAACAGGAACATTTCTAAGGTCAAGAGGGAAGAACACCTAGTACTATGGGCTGTTGTAGTAACCGTTTCTGCAAAGAGAGCAGACCATCATTCCCAAGGAAAATACAAAATGTATGTCTACATAGACCAGTCACATGGTCCTAAAGGCCATGGTATAAACACTCTGGAAAAATAGAGGCTGCTTTTGTATATATCCACATATAATTAGATTTTGTTGGAGAAGCACTTGGTTGACTGATGTTCCTTACAATAACACACTCATTGTATAGGAAAAAGCTTCAGACTTTGCAGCCAATTTCCATCGTTCTATAGAGTGACCCACCTCACACACTAAGAATCACAGCTCCACTGTGTTACCAAATGGGGATTTGCTTCATAGATGCAAAAATGAGTTAATGGTTACCTGTGAAAAGGCTGCCCCCATAAGCTTCTACTGCTCTGGAATGAATAGCACAGGTGCACAAGGGCAAGAAGTGTTTACCCACCATTAAGCCACCATATAGTTTAGAAAAACTAAACCCTCTCTCCATTTAAATATTAATTCAGCATTTAATTATGGATGTTTGTCAACCTGGATAGTTAAAAACTGATTAGTTAGAAATTGAAATTACTGATCACAGGTGGTTGGGCAAACAGTATCACCAAATTTCTTTCTCTTTCCTTTTCTTTTTGTACTAACAGCCTCATCTATATGATCTGCTGCGTTCTACAGGTTGCATCTGTCTTACGGCTTGTTTACTATCCTTTTGAGGAGCAGAACGAGTGAAGAGCAAGACACGCAAACTTCTCAGCCCCAGCAGAAGAACGGCTCTTTCACCTCTTGAGACACGTTCCGTCTTTCCACAGGTTAAGGGCCCTCTTGCCTCCCGCATGTGGTCTCTTGTGCAACTTCTAGATTTATCTCACAAACAGGCAGTTTTCATTGTGCAGAGGCCCTTGTTTGCATCTCTATGTATTTTAGAAAATGCCGGTGTGATCACACCCTATACATAATAATTTCTGCTCCAGGTGACAATGCTAAAAGTATTCTTGTTTTTTTTAAATCCCTCCATGCTATTCAGTGCTGTGCTGTTTTAATATTTATAAGTTGTTTTTCCAATTACCTGAGTAAGGTGTCTTATGCAGTGTATTATGCATTAGTTGTATCCCCTTTGGGTAGAAATCAGAACTGATGAGTAAAAGTATTTTTTCCCATTGCTTAACATAAAAAACACATTAAAATTGATAACAGTCACATGCATACCAGCAGCAGTCACTTTTAACTTACTAAAACCTTTGTCATTATGTTCCTGTAGTTTTTAATTATCTAACCTTAACCCTGTTGTCAGACTTATAATGTATCAACCTGCATGGACGATCTTGGAATTACATTATATCTGTTTTTTGAGTGGAGACAATCTAATAAGATGAGGAATGGGTAGGAAATCTGAACCCAACAGGGTGAAATCAAGATAAAGCCAAAGAAGACAGCATTGTAGACTTGCCTGTATGTATTTGTGCATGTACCATGAAGCTTGTTTGCCATCATTCACGGATTCCACTGTAGTGTTGGCCAGACCACTAATGTCGCCTCCTGCAAAAATCCACGGCTCACTTGTTTGCATGGTCTCCGGATCAACTTCAGGGAGGCCCCATCTGTTAAACTTGAGAGGATGAAGAGCTCCTTTAACTGTATTAAAAGGAAAGGGGGGGGCAGAAAAGGTAGATGATACAGATGTGTAATTAACATGAAAACACCAGTTTAGATGATAAATGTTATCAGGGTCTTGCAGCCTTGAACTCCAAATTCAGGAGCCTGTGGCCTTAGCAGATACTGTGCACTGTAGACTTCTGGATCGACCTGCCCTAGCATACAGCTTAGGAACTTGCTTCATCCAGTGTCTGGAGCCCATCTCTTGAAGTCATTACCATTGAGTTTGGAATGACCATGAAACAACTTCTCCAACACCAAGTTCCTGCCACCACAGATATCTCCTTATCTTTTCCCCAAATTTATTTGTTTGCAACTCTAGCACTGAGTGGAGAGATTCTGCAAAACCTCTTTTCTTCTCTGATGTTGATCACTTGGGTGCCAGGGAAACTTGGACATGGAGTTCTCTGGGAGACCTCAACCTTTCTATGGACATTGGGTGCCCTGAAGAATTATATTCCCAACCCTGTTGGTATAGCTTATGATTTGGACACCCACTGCTCTGCCATGGTCCCAACCCACATAATGGCTGGGATCATAGACCATTCTGCATAGATATAATGCAAACAGCTCACAGAAAACCTTTCCCCCCGAGAGGCTTGCTTTCTATGCACAAAGAATGTTGATTCTTGTGGAAGAAGTCTCACTGATTTCAGTCTGATATAGCCCTATAGCAGGTGAAACAGCTTTATCCCGTCACCTGCTGCTTCTGCCAATGAGGCCAATCTGAAGACCATACAAAGCAGGTCAACTCTGTCTCATGCCTGTGATGGTCTAATGGCAGACGGAAGCTTAATAAGCTAAAGAAGATGATGTAGGAGGTACTGTCAAGATTATGTTGAAAATAAACTTTAAAACAGGTGCTGCTTGAAATGACTTCTTTTCATTTCAACTCTGCAGTGGGTACAGAATCATCTCTTCCCCCTCCCTGCTATGGCTTTGATATCGATCTGGTAACCCCACACCTGGTATAAAAAAAATTGTATTTCCATGGCAGAGGGAAGGGTTAAGCCCCCCCCCCCCCCCCCGCAGGCCAGGATTCCACTTTGGATCATATTCCTGGCACTTACTCTAGAGCAAAAAAATAAAAATGCCATAGTTGCCAACTACATATTTCAAACTAGTGTCAGTTTTGCGCCTCAGCTATAAAGGTCTCTGGGTGATACTGAGTTGTCTGTTTTCTTGGAACCCAGCCTAACTTTTAGGACTGTTTTAAGGTTAAAAAAGGGGGCGGAGGGGGTCACGTATGTTGCCCTGACCTTCTTGGGAGAAGGGGGAAAACATGCACATAATGAACAAGTAAATAATAGATACAAGAAATAGGATCAGGGAACAGAGGGACCCCGATATGAATTGTGATAAAATTGAAGCTTTCCCCCTTATTCCTTATGACAAAAATAGTATCCAGGGCTTTTCTTTAATGTGATCATCTCTATTTTAGGTTATATACTCAGGGAAAGCTATCTGAGGGCAAGCCAGCCAGGACACCAGCCAGCCAGACGGACAGATATACAGACTGACTGACTCGCTACTTAGTATATCCAGTCTCAGACTAGATGGCCCAGGGGACTCCTTCTGACTTGTTCTGTTCTGTTTCTATAGCTTCACAGTAAGGCATCTGGATACAGGCAGTGTTTTAGAACATCTTGATACCATGCATAAGGATGTGTGATTTTTATGTGGGTATTATTCTATCGTAGAGATTTTTTTTCTGTATGAATTTGTGTGTGTGTGTACGCACATGTGCTGACCATCCCTTGAGGACATGCCACACACAGATGCAGATTGCTAAGGCCAATTAAACTGATGTAGCTGTGCTGTCATATATGTAAAAGAGAAACCTGCTGGTATATTTCTCAGTTGTCACAAAACAGCGTCAAAGATGCATCCTGTTTTCACTAGAGATGAGAACATGTAGTTGTGCTTTGCCTCGCGAACCCTCTGAAAAGTCAGGAATGGGGTTTTCATGGTTTCCCACTCTGGATCTCTACATCAGGTGGTTAAATAAAGGGAAAGAGAAAGGAGCAAGGAAGGAGGATGAGAATGGTGCTGGAGGTTTGCCAGAGGCAGACAAGCGTGGTGAGGAACTTCACATAATAATTTCCTGAAAAATGGGCTTTCAAGGGGGATTGGAAGTGAGAATCCCTAGACAAAGCACGATCCATATATGTTATATGCAAGAGCGTTGCCTAGGCTTTCTTAGAAGCTTTTGTGACAGATGATTCTGCAGTGGGAAAGGCAAGCAACTTTTACTGTTTGAAAGGCAGCTGGAATCTTCAGCATGGAATTACTATTAGTAGGAGGAAAAGATCAGCCAGTTAAGCAGGTTTTGACTGTGCACTTATATAGCTCCTTACCATAAAGGCCACTGACATGACTGAAAACACTGACAAAAGAATCTGGGTGGACAGTGGGTGGGAGAAGAGAAGAAAAACGAATTGGACACAGGCGCTATCTCAAACTACCTTGGAAGGAAATAATAATTAGACTCTATATCTCATTTTTGATTCAGTCAACAAAATGTTATTATGACAAATTAATATGAATACCACATAGGGCTGCTAATACTGATAATGCCAAGCACAAAACATTTTGAAATCCTGAATGCTAAGATAAGGTACTGATGGTTTAGATAAAAATATAAGAAAAAGAAACTGCTTTGCATGTTTCAGCAGCTAATTTTAAAACTGGAAATACTGTGTCACTTTCAGGATCAGAAGTGATTAGTCTCTCTTAAAGTCCCATTGCTTGCAAAAAGCTAGACTAAAATAAAATAAACAAAGCACGCATTTAGTTAAGTCCACTGAACTAATTTGCAAAATGCCAAGACTAGATTAGTTTTCTCCTGGTATCTGAATGCAAAACGGTTTAGTTAGTTTAATATTTCTAAGGATAAGGGCCTATCCTTACAGATAATTTCCTAGGATCCTGAATTGTGGTAGGAGAATTCAAGCAAGATGGAAGGATAGTATGTTTAGTCAGCAATTCTATTTGTTAACTTGCCTTCATTCAAAGGAGCTAATACTGGCTTAACTGGGCTTTTCCTTTCATCCTAACATTCTGTCAGGTAGACTGCTCTGAGGGATAGTGACTTGTCTAAAAAGACTACACACATTACCCATGTGCAAGCAGTTTGGTTAGCTGGCAGCAGATAGAATATGCATCTTACCAGGGCTGCAAACCTGGCTTAGTTTTTTAAAAAATTAATGTATTAAAAATTAATAAAATGAACAAAGAAAACAGGTACGAGATATACAGATCAATTTCAACTTGTTCCAGTTTGGATGCAGCTTCAGAAAGAAAACCTATTCTTAGGAACATCTGGTCAAATACATGTTGGGCAGTTGAGATTATAACACAGATAGACTGTTGCAAGATTAGCTATTCCGCTGTTGCAGTCAGAAATAGCGAAGTAGCTGCATTGGGTACCATAGGGCAAGAAGATGACATTTCAATAAGCAAATCATTATACTGATTGTATAATGAAATGATTGTCAGCCTATATCTCTATCACCCTTTAAAACTATTAGTAGGAAAACAACACCATCCATGATCCAATCCTCTGTGCTTATGTGGCTCCTCTTAAACTATTTCTCTCCTCCCATGTTATCAGAGTATTCTGGGAAGAAGCAGGGAGAAGTGATGCAGCTATTGGTAAACTCTTGGCAGTATCCAACAGGGACACCACACTTGTGCAGTTAGAATCAGAGAATCTGAGAACAGTAGGGTTTCGGAGGGGCCATCAGGTCCAATTCCCTACTCAATGCAGGACTCCACATTAAAGCGGCTCTAGCACATGGCTGTTCAGCTGCATCTTGAATGCCTGCCGAATCTCACCTCTCAGGGAAGTGGTTCCATTGTCATATTGTTCCAACAGTCAGGAATAGGTGGGTTTTGATTGCTTGTTGCTTTATTGTTGAGCCAGAATCTGACACCCTGCAATGTGAGCCCACTATTCCACGTCCCGCACTCTGGGATGATTCAGAAGATCCTGGCCCTCATCAGTGTTATAACCTTTCCAGAACTTCATATGCTTCTGTGCTATCGCGTCTCAGATCAGTCTTCTCTACTCAATAATAAACATGCCAGTCTCTTGTTATATGGCTTTGCCTACAGTCCCCTGATCAACGTTGTTGCTCTCCTCCAGTTTGTCTGCCTCTTTCTAAAAAGGTGTCCAGAACTGGACACAGTACTAACGATGAAGCCTAATCCAAGCTGAGTAGGGGGGAAGTCATGCTTCATGGCACATGCCACTCATATAAGCAATCTCCACCATAACCGTAATGGCATGAGCTGCTGCGATAAATTTTCTAGACAAATGCATCACTTATGCTATTGCTGTGGCACTAGAGGTTACACGAGGTCAGGTGCATAAGCACAGAAGCCTCGTTGGATACTACTGCACGGATCACCATTTCAAGGCATTTCTTAGAAATATTGACAGTATAGAAAAACCTTGAATAAGTAAATAAACAAATAAAATAAGACACTGCTCCGGCAACTTTTATTGGAACGACGAGTGAAAGATGGTTAATGTTGTTCGTAAACTATGTTGTTAAAAGCACCATCCCTGAATGAGGAGCAGACAGCTGAGCCATTCTCCAAATGCTACCTGTAGGAGTGGCATTGCCACTACCTCTTGTCAGAGGAAGCAAGACCAATCCTACTTTTGGGAAGAGAGATGAATAGACACCAAAGTACGGTAAAGCAGTTTAGCAGAGACAATCCAATGAAAACAAAACCAGTTTGGTGCTCATATCCCCAAGAGAAAGGGAACAGCTTACATAGAGACAGAAGGCAAAGGAGTCGCCTAACTCTAGCAAGATGCCACAGAAGCAGTTTTGCTCAATTTGGGATCCTTGCCAAGAAGCCAAGCAGGTCCCTCGCAGCCCTTCTCTCCTCAGTGCTCCTCTCATCATGAGGTATGTCCTACTGCTTGGTCATCGGTTTAAGACACTTGTGGGTCTTCTAAAGTGCCA